ACAGCAAGATAGGAAATGCCTGTTCGGGATCACGTCGCAAACACCTTGAGCACAAAAGGAAACTAAACTAAAGGCTCAAGCCAGGTTTACTGATAAATGAGTGCAGTCCTGTTTAAACAAAGCAGAGACTCAAAGCTGTTTCCAGAAGTCGTAACTGCAGGCGACTGGAGAAATTAATGTGTTTAGTCAATGAACCTCAGCAGCTGGGTTATTAAAATGAGCTGCATGATCTCATGGAGAATGAGAGGAGATTGACGAGACAAAACTCTGGTGTCCTTCTCACAGGAAGTGTCTTCTGGAGTCTAAACTGCTTCCCAGCTTTGCCCTATTAATGGAATGTACATTTTGCCAATGAATAAAAAAATATATGTGTCTATATATCTATATGTATTTATAGATATATAGACATATTTAGGTCACAAGTTCAGATTGTGCTACTAAAAGTTGTCGTGTGACAAAATGTGAACCAGTTCAGAGGGTGTGAATGCTTTTTACTAGGCACAGTACGTGAAACTTTAATTACGCCGACTTTAAAAGTTTTACAGGACGTAGAATTACAATTAAGATTGGGTTCACCCAGATTTATTTGGGACTTGTCAATTAAAACAATGAAAAAAACATTGCAGAGCATCTGGCTGAAAAACAACACGATGGCAGACGAAGCTGGTTTCCTCCTTCATCCTCAGATAACAGCAGTGAATGGCCTACTTCAAGTATTTAGAAGACACAGAGCTTTGCGGTGACAGAGCGGACCATGTAGGATTCGGTAGAATCTCTGCTAAACCTCTTCACCCAGTCGGTGGGTAAAATACCACTAGCAGATCCATTCATGCAAAAGGCAGGTTCGAACTGTGATTAAACCCACTTTTACTTGTTCACCTTAACCAAAAGAGTCTCATAGTGATGTATGTTTACATTGTTTAAGTAAATAGAAAAATAATTTGTATATCCTTTGTGTTTAATTTCCTCTTGCACTGTCTGATAGTAGAGTTACTCAAGCAACTGTTCTGCTTCACATTCACCAGCAGACAAAATAATGAAGCGAAACGCGGCCATGGTTAACCATACACTACAGACTGTGCCAGTGATTACCACAGGCCAACATGGTTGTTAATCATAAACTTCTTCTGTACACTGAAGCTTGTGTCTGTTTCCGCTATCAGTCTGAATAACCTCTGTTAAATAGCCTCGCAGAACCGGACTTTGAACCGCTGCATGCATTTCAGACTGATTTTAGAATGATGCAAGTGCAACAAATAGACTCGCTGTTTACTCACAAATAGACATGTTGGTCCCATGTTACACTATGTCAATGAAAGGGGAAAACAACACAATACTTTGGTTGATTGCGTAATAGGAATTATATTGCGGGCGTAATAAGGTTTGAGAAAACTTACGAGAAGGAAACGTGCATTTCCTTCCTTTCTCTTGGCCCATACTTCTTCATGTGTTTGCATGTTAGACATAACTGATGAAAGCTTGAGAGCAACACTTCAAAACAAAGAGGAGTGTTTGAATTACCTCCGTTCCTCAAACCTATCAGGACCCGTGACTCAGCTTGGTTTCTCGGTTCCACCTAACAATGTTTGCACTGCTGTAAAGTCTTCTGTTTGCCTTCCCCTTGGCCGAAGCAACTACTTCTGGGGTCCAGCGGCTCCAGAGTGCTGGCACTTTTGGAATCACCAATCAAGGGCTCGCCTCAACCTGATTGTAGTGCTTCAGCTTAGAGACATAAATGTGCATGAAGTATCTTTGAAAGTCTCTCCAACACCTCAGAGACAATAGTTGGACGCAAAGAGGAAATCTGCCTATCTGTGGTGAGATGATTGGCAACTTTTATCAACATTGGCAGCTCTCTAACATTGGCAGTTTGTCAAGATTTCCTTTGAGGAAGCTACAAGGACAAATTAAAAACTGTGCAAGAAGAAAACAGGAGTACAGGCTCCCACGTACTCGGGCGTAATGTTCATATTCTGTGAGCCGCAAGGACTCCAAGGACAAAGTCTGCAGAGAGTAGAGATTTCATAGTTGGAGCATATCAGAACAAAACAAAACAAAGTGGTTATTCAACCAAACTAGGGATGAAGCTCCCCTCCATGTAACAAGTAGTTACAAGGACGTGACTGTCACTCTATGACCCCCCACACTGACAGGTGTCAGCTCGGTGTCGCGTACAAAACAGTTCGATGTGAACACTGTTTCCCGCCAAACAGCGAAGTGGACAACATCAAGCATGAGTGCGCAATCATAAAAAACTGACCTTTGCGCAGACGTGTCAGGCAGACGTATATTTTGAGACCACCTTGAATATGCACAAACCTCTGCAGAGTAACGTACGGCTACGTATGCAGGAGCCTTAACTTTCGTTTTTCAGTTGTAAAACAGTCAGTCGTCTGATAGAGGTAGTAATTATCTGATTGAAGGCAGCAATATTTATAATGCCTGTTACAGCTGAATCTTCAATATTTAAACTTTTGGGTTTATTTAAACTCCAGTGGGGATTTCCAGTAAGTGTGGAACCTTAGTTGGCCTTCAATTGCACACAGTCCTTATTCTGCAGACCCTTTTGCAAAACACTTTAAACGGGGATTTACTGTAGACACCTTCTGTCCATCCCTGCTGTGTGATTAACCAAGATGGTGAGAAATAGGGATAAAGCAGATGAAATTATCCATGTTCACATATTTTGTAGTGGGGCTGACTAAAAGGTTATGACCATGGGCAGGTAGTGCTCTTACATTCTTTACGTTGAGGAAACAACGAGTACTTTTCCCACAAATGCCTAGTAGTCAGAAAAGAGTCAAAACAAAACCTGACTTCTACCATGTTGAAACGTATCCAAAAATGTCAGAGTGGTTCCTGCAGACGCTTGTTTTGAAATTTCTGTCACATTTGCATCAGATGATTATCAACACAGAAGTCTGCAATTATGTAATAAAGACCATAGCCAGCTAACAATGGACAAAGATAACGATGCAAAATGAGGCATGTTAATGTATCCAAATAAAAAAAAAAGTATTGATAGAAGTTTAAAAATCAATAAAATAGTGTCCCCTTGAAATTTTACAACGTATTATTTTTCTAACAGTAAGTCTGACTTACTTTGCCTAGCACTGCAATTTGCAACAATGTTTCAAATGCAATACTATGTTATGGACTGACTTTGTTGTAAGCAAGTTTAGTATTTGATGTAAATTCTGATACAAAATTGCAATGGTTTATATCAAATAAATGCATGTGCCACACACCTTGTTTTGCACCTTTCTTGCAAGCTGTTAGATAGAAAACTAAGTGTTGTTTCATCAAACTGAAGAGACACCTGTCTATTGCAAAACTTGCAGCAGCACATTGTGATGCGTCAACCCAAATTCCAGAGTTTGAATTATAAATGGCTGATTCAAAGCTGCATTTTTTATATTGCCAAGATACAACCTTAAAGCAGAAAGTTGCCTCTTAAATGCCTTCTTCTGAAGGAGTAGTTAGCTTCAGAACTACTTTGCCCATTTGTTTTGTTTAATTAGTTTATAGAAATAGTATTAATTTAAAAGATTTCAGATGAAAACAACCCAACTTTATGTTCATAAAATTATTGTATGGTAATTCAATTGAATATGTTAACAATGGTTAGATAAAAAAAACGCATGAATGTTTTTTAAATTTTATCCATTATAATATTTCTGGCAACTACACAGTACTTTGGAAAAATATCACTTTCATTTCATTTCACTACCACACATTTTAAAGCATTTCATCGGGAATTCACTTTATAGATCAACACATCAGAAATGAATGCGATTACGAAGGAAAATGATGTGTAAATTATTTTGCAAATAAAGAATCTGAAAACGATTTAGCTCCCTTTACTCTTAACCCCTTCCGACAAAATCCTGTGCAACCACTTGTCTTCGGAACCCTTCGAGTTACTAAGTGGATCTGTGTGAAATTCATTCCCAGGATAAATACAAACGTTCTACGAAGTTAGTTAAACACCACTGTGGAACAATGACGAGGTAACTTTAGAGGAGCTGCAGAGATCCACAGCTGAAGAGGGAACATCTGTCAACTCAACAACTGTTCAGCAATCCGCAAATGTGGCCTTTATGGAAGAGTGGAAAGAAGAAAGTAATTGCCGAAACAAAGTCATAAGAAGTTCTGTTTGCAAGTTGCCACTAACCAGTGAGGGCAGTGGTCCATAACCCTGTTCCTCTGGGACACATCAGAAGATGGAATTAGCTGGTATGCTGAGGATGCTGCGATGCAATCACTTGAATCAGGTGTGCGGGAGCTGATGCACAGCTGAAACATGCAGCTCAAAGTTGGAAGAGGTTGCTGAAGACTTCTTGCTGGAGTGGAGGTTCTCCTCACAGCACAACAACAACCCTAAACACACAGCCACAGATGCAACGAAATGATTTTAGATTGAAGCAAATGTACGACCAAGAGTGCACAAAGATCCAGACCTACATCCAATTAAGGAGGTGCAACACGTTTTGGAAAGTCGCTATGTACAGTTGTTCTCTGTTTAACCCAAATGAGCAGGAGCTGCGAAAACTGTGAAAAGCATGGAGCTGTAATTAGAAAGTGAAAGTTGACTCAGCCTTTCTGACTCAGCTTGCCACACTTTCAAGATCTCATTAGCCAACAAAATAAAATCTAAAAGATGTGTGGTGACAAAACCCCCACACACACAAAAAATCAAGGATTAGGGAAACCTTTGCAATACACAGAATAGCTTTTTTTTCTTTTTCCCCTTACCACCAGCTGCACGTTATTTTTTGCCGTTAATTTATGCCTACATGGGAAAAACAACGATGAAGAAAGAAAAAAAAACCTCGGTGATTTACAGCTCCTCAGTGCACCTTTCTTATAATTACAGGGGTATTATTATCCTACGTGTACTTGCAGCAGTGCCAGAGAATCACATGAGGCCCTTTAAGGGGGCTGGGCAGAGTTTTGAGAGGTTGGTATGACTTTAAGAGTTTACTACCAACACCTCTCACTCACACACACACACACACGCACCGCAGAAAGTTTCGAGGGTTGACGAGCAGTGGGATACCTACGGGCAGGAAGTGACGGAACTGCATACATTTCAGAAGGAGGGGGGAAAAGGCGAGAAAAGGTATCAACACAAAGCAGAGTGTGAAGCAACGTGGGACCGTTGTAGAGTTTTGTCGGAGGAGGAGTGAACTGCGCATGATCTCAACAACACCGGAGCGGCGAGCAACTTTTTTCAATGGAAGGAGGCTACCAGCAGTGAGAAGCGGAGATTTTACTCAGCGGCTCTGATATCCATGACTGTGCTCACACTTCTGGAAAGTATCGGCACACAACGGCACCATATGGAGCAGTGACCCACAAAACCTCCAGCCTCCCCTAGCTTTGGAAATGCGGGGAAAAACTTAGCGCAAAAGGAGGTGGAGGAGGAGAGAAGTGTGGGAGACAGTTGGAGGATATGAACTCGGACCTTCAGGTTTCGCCACGATTATTCGCTCCGTCCGGTTCGGTTTTGCGTCTTTGGGGATGTTTGCGGGTTGCACCTCTGCGCCTTCCGTTCGGACGCTGGCTCGCCTTTGCACCCTGGTGCTGATGGTCGCCGTGGGACTCGGGTCGGAGCTTCGGGTTCGGGTCCGGCTCTCAGACGGGTTGGTGACCGAGGAGATTTTGGAGGCGGACAGTGAGAGAGACTCGATATCGCTGGAATTTAAGCAAGGAGACGGAACCCTCATCACTTTTGTAGCAGACTTTAAACAGGTGAGAGGAGGTGAATATTTTATTAATGCCATAAATTCCTCTTGGTTTATGACAGGTCAATGTTCTGGGTGCTGAGTCATATATTGAAACATGGCATTTGTTTAATATTGTGTACTGTAATCATTTTCTCACTAACAAACATTTTTAGCCATTAGTTTTCATTAAAGTTTGTAAAACTTTTCCTGCTTTCCCCATCACCTAGTAAAGATGGCAGCTTTCACTTTACTTAATACAGAACCTATTAACAACCTTATAACTTCCCCTTCAGATCAAAATCTAATCAAGGCCCCTCTTTAGACTTATTATTAGTTTTAGGAAATGGGCTGCGGTGTGTTTTCATTTTATTGTGCATGCCTTATAGTTTGAAGACTATTTATTGGTATCCCAAAAAACAGGCAGAAGTGATAATTTTACCTGACTTTGCGAAGAACAAAGCGACGTATTGCTGCTCCTTCCCCACGTGTTGCTGCACACTGTTTGTTAGCTGGCTGAATGAACTTTCACCTTTCCCTTGCTTACTAAAATGAAGAATATTGAAAAGAAAACACATCCATGGAACAAACATGGACACATCCATTTTAAACATGGAAATGTGATTTATTTTTATTTTTATTTATTTTATTTTTTATTTTTTGGAAACTAAAATCGGAATTCCGACAGGAAAAGTCAAAGGTGGTTTGACGGCTCCCAACTGAGCATCCAGTATGGGTGCCACACTTGTAAAACATACTGAATATTTTTGAGGCACTTATGAGAGTTTATATCACCTAATTGTAGCGTACCTACTGGATTTGTCTCAAAACTCACCTGTTGTTGTAAGCGCTGAATGAAAACATGGCCATGCACTGCATGTGACAAGTATCATTTATGTTGGCTTCTATTTTGTGACTTTCCACTTAGTCCTGAAGTGAAATGACTAACTGAGGAATTTGTACTACATGTAATTAGATCACATCAAACTTGTGTTATTATTTTAAACAGCAGAACAATAAAAAAAATGGAGTAATACACTTAACTAAGCAACCAATAATTTAGAGGGCGTTGGTCCTGTCTTGTGAGTTAATATTATCCAAATTGAGTTAATACAATATACACCACGAGAATCTCATGTCGGACCATGCAGAAGGCGGATAATCAGAAACCCCTAGTAGCTTTCCTTGACATCCTATTATCTTGTCTTTCCGTTCTTTTTCAAAGAAATCTGCCATCGCTACAGGGTTTTGGTTTCGGCTAAATCATTACCCCAAAGCATGCATGACGAGTCACAAATCTACGGCTTTGCAGAAATTACCCCAAAGCGCAAAACCCGCCCCTTGGAGAATTTACTGTAAAACCATGTCTAAGCTCTGTCAGAAAGTTTCATTCATCCATCTCCATCAAAGCGCGAGTTTCAGCAGAAACCAGGACAGATGTTGCTCCCCAGATGTGGACGCCCACAGAAACCTCAGCAGCCCCACGTCTCCAGTCAAAGAGGAGATTATAAATGGCCACGTTTACCATTCTTCTGAAAGTAGATGAGCTCATTGAGCGTCTTCACCTCGGTCAGCGCTGAAGCGTTTTTGGGGGGTTATGTTTCATCTTGGACGAAGAGCACAAAGAGACGCATAAAAATCTGAGGAGGGCTCGGAAAGCTGGAAAGGCATGCGTCTGTTATGGTTGTTGTCACACAGAAGCTGGCGAGATGTGAAGGGGGGAGATTTGCCGGGATTAGGTGGGCATGTCTGACCTTTTTGATCTGCATGTCTGCTTCGCTAACCAAAACAGCTAATTTAGAGTTGAAAGAGAGGAGGCCATCATCTCAAATCGTTGGTGCCAAAGCAGCCAGAGACGGACGTGTACGTTATTTATCGGCAAACCAGGAGTGTTTCCCTGCTGCATGGTCGTGTGCCTGCGCCCGTACTTCCGCATGCATGTGGTCATGCTTATTTGAATGAAGCCAATAAAACGTTCTTAGATCACTTTGCTTTTCCGCTGGTTGATTTATCTTTTCCAGTTGGAGAGTCGGCCGTCTTCTCTCCCTCCCTTTTCTGCCTTCTCTTCCCTCTCCGCTGCTGCATGTGGTTTCCATTCAGCTCTTGTCCAGTATCTCAAAGATTTATGCAAAGTCAGACAAGCTGCCAATTCCAGCTTCCATAAGTATACAGTTGGGATGAACGTGATCCGTGCATCTTCACAGGAATGTCAACCAGAGTCAGTACGGTGCTCTGCTGTCAGTCTGTCAGGGATAAGATGAACTGGTTAATTTACTACTTGAAGGCATGTAGAAAATATTTACTGGTTATGTGGAGTAACATCAGGATCATTTACAAATGAAATCCTCCTTCTTCGTTGGGTTCTTTCCTAAGACTTCAAGACGGGGGGGGGGGGGCAGTAAATGTTATAGACATTAAATGCTAGAGAGGTCTGCTGAATCTGAAAGGGAGCTTTATCTATGCAACAATCTCCCCCACAGGATCAGCTGTACTCCTGGAACACCGTGTCTGTTCTGAAGGCATGCGAACATATGGAAAAGATGATGTGGTTTAGCTAGCGCACAATGTTTCTGAGTCAGTTTTGAGTCAAGCACAGCAAATGGATATCGCTGTGTTTCAACTTAAAACCGCACAGGAACTCTTTAAATAAGACCATTCCATCAATAACATGATGACATGTCGCTTATTCTGCGGAAAAATCGAGCTGTTTACTTTTGCCACGTTCAAATGACCAACTCCAAAGGTCGCCAACGTCATGATGTTGATGCTACGTTTATTTGTCAGCAGAAGAGAAAGCGTGTTTCTGATTGAACAGCTTTCTGCCAGTTCACTTCACATCTGCGTTTTTCTTTTCCCCCCTTCTATAACTGACACCATTTATGGCCTTAGATGGTGCAAGACCTTCTGCTGAACATAAACCACGTCTCGCAGATTAATCTAAGGGAAATGTCTTGCATATTTCATGGATTGGTTTTATATCTCCAGATGTCAAACCAGCTTGTACCAACGTGGTTTTACGTCTATTACCAAGTGATGGGTTTAATCAATCCAGGATTGTGAGGGACTGCAAAGACTTGATGACTCAAGGATTTTTCCTATTAAAATGGCTCCAGTGTTGAAGTTCTGTCTGTTTCTACCCCTCCAAACACACACTGGCACAAAAAAATAAAATAAAAAATAAGAAAAAACTCGTGCCAACCTTGGCCAGTTCTTTGATTTGTCAGAAGAAGACACGCCGTTTTTGTCTGGGGCTGAACTCGGTGTTTCATCAATCGCGTCTTTTATAATGTTGACAAATCGGCACATGTTGTCGAAGAAGGTTTCGCTTTCAGAGGTTCGAATTTGCATTTCCAAGTCATGAAGGAAGGAGCTTGTAGTTAAACCATCAGCAAAAGGAACAAAACCAAATCATACCTGTTTTTCCACCTGAAACGCGTTCGATTCGAGGATAAAGTATTTCGGAGTTCTGAGTTCATCTTGAGACTAACTTTTGTATACCTTGATTCTGTAATCCTGCCCATGCAAAGTAAAAATATTGAAATAATTGAAGTGATTTGTGATGTCGGTGTCCCTGGACTGAATTCAGAATACAACAAGAAGAGGATTTTATGTCTTCTGGAGAAGGGTTTATTGTTATGCTCTGAACTTGTTCTCCCTTTTTGGGAACCACTGCGCTGAAAGTACCAAACTTTCTGCTTCTGGCTCGCAAGCTAACAACTGAAGAGCTCACAGCAATCTGTTAAGCATTTAAACATCTACTGGGCTATAAAAAAAAGGGGTCGGGGGGCACAACATGAACTATACTAGCAGTCAAAACTAGGCTTTTGTGCTGTTTTTATCTCCGTTTATAGAATAGATCTGCTATACCACTAACATTTTTATTTTAAGTTCTAAAATGGATCAAGAACCCATACTAGTTTAATTGCAACCACAATCTCTGAAGGTCTGCCATTGTTCTAAGACTTAATCTCTGACTTCTTAACTTAACCAGATGAAGTATGCAGCGCAGTAATGCTTCAGCTAGAGAGCGAGTTCAACATTTAATCATACTGAAAGTGATTCTTAATCGTCAACAAATAACAAAACATTTCTGTCTCCCAATTATTAGTCTGGGTGAACCTGCTAGTGTTTTACTAACAGGCTGTTATGTAATAAAGTATTTAAAAATGTAAGGTTATAGTGATTTTTGTGGCTTTCCCATGACATGGGTTTCTAAAAGACTCCTTTATGTTATCCTTGTTTTGTGGAAAGTGAATCCACATCAATGGAGACGGTGCAGGAATGACCTTTTGTAGTGATGATGGGTCAGGCGACCAGCAGATGACTGGAGGCCACTTGACACCATCTCTCATTATCATGCTAAACGGGCCTGGATTTTGTAAATGATGGTACTGTGGCAGGAGGGCTTGAGTAGTTGAACTTATTTGCAATTCCTGACGACCTAAAAATGTGGCTCGCCTATCGGTTACAGTTGTTTCTCTCGGGTCAATTCACTGTAGCGTGCTTTTGGAGCATCTTCAAAGCACAAAGCGATGCCGAACAAAGAGGTTTCTGCTTAAATGAATCGGAGATCCTCCACACACCCTCATGGCAAACCGTATGTTGCGAGTGGAAAGGCAGGTTTGTTAGCTTTTACTGTACTGATACACAGGTGTTTGTGTTTCATTTCTGTTTCAGTTGGGGTGTTTTTTTGTTGAGCTTGGACTTTGACCTTTACTAAGCAAAGTTAATTTCCTGTGCGGGAAATCCTTTGGGAATGCATCAACTTAAAAATTGCTTAAGAGAGGCATAAATAAAATGTTTTTGTCGTGTACGTCAGTCACAAGTCGGTACATTTTTGCCACACCTTGTTTCTTGCTGAAGCCTGAAATATTGTCTCACTTTGTCACCTGCACAAACTTGTTAAAGTCCTTGCAGGGAAGTGTCACCTGTTCCAGTAAATGCTTCTGAATCACATATACAATAGTGCAAAGGGAAATTTCCAACATTTCTCTTGAGAAGAAGTGATTGTGAATCATCACCGAGTCA